TGGTATCTTCTATCTAGGGCCATTTACCTTCTGTAAAATGGGAATAATAAGAGATCTCCCCAGCACCTAACAGGGTTGCGAATCATCAGAAGATAGACCCGAAGGAGCTTGGAGAGAGCAGGAAGGGTAGGGTTGTTATTCACAGACATTTTTAGTTCTAATTTTTCCCCCAGGGGCTGTTTGGAGCAGGAGCAGGGAGTGTGCAAGAGAGAGAAAGTTTGCTTCTAGTCTGAGACTGTTGTCCCAGAACTCACTTCATCCAGATGTGAGAAGAGTTGGGGGAAGGGAGGGAGGGAGTCCTGAAAGTGAGTTCTGACCCTGGCCCCAGGTTCCTCATGGGGGCTCCCAGACAGACACAGAGACAGAGGAAGGGCAGCCAACAGACAGGTGCAGAGGCTCTAGGGCTACCAAAGTCTCTGGAGGATGGGAGCCATAAGGGTCAGAGAGTCACCACAGTGGGGGTCTTTGTGACTGGGCAATGTAGTGGACTTCTGAGAGGAGATAGTGTTTCTGTCTTTGTTTAAGAGGAATTAGACTGACAGGCAGGTGGTGGCTTGATTGGACGTGTGACAGGGTTAGGAGAACCCTGGGGGATGCATTGGGGGGCTCCTGGCAACTTCCCCAAGGCTAAATGTCTACATCACTACTGTTGTCTCCCCTCCCATTCCCCCACACAGATCAGACAAGCATTTATTAAGCACCTATTGTGTGCCAAGGCACATTAGGTGCTGGGGACACCCAGAAAGGCAAAAACACTCCTTCCCTTCAGGAGGAGTGGAGACTACATAGCAATAATGAGGCATAGACATGATAAATACTGAGAATGTAAGAGCGAATGTCAAAAGGAAGAACGTGGGGGGAGGAGTGAGGATGAGGAAGGCCTCCTCCAATGGTGGGAAACTAGGAGATGGAGATGAGTATGGGGGGCAGCCAGGGAGTGCGAAGACAGAGCTGGGTGATGGACATTCATGGGATGAGCCTGGGGCCACTGAATTAGAAAGTACCTTCGGGGTAATCGTGTGGCAGAAGTATGGGGTGGGGGGAAGGGCCATGCAGGTGGGGATGGGAGGCCAGAGCCCTGATTCCTGCTCTGGTGGCCCCCTCCTTTGGTCACCGAGAGCTCAGCCCCACTTTCCTCCCAAGAAAGCCACAAGAGGCGCTAATCAGCTTGTTTGTGCCCAGCTCCAAGCTCTGGTCCCTGCCGCCCCTTACAGGGCAACAAAGCCACAGCTAACTGACTGGAGGGAGGGAGAGAGAAAGCGAGGGAGGGATGAGAGGAGTAAGGATCAGCCATGAGGCTGCCCCCACCTGCATCCCGAAATAACCGCTCTGGGTGCAGAGAGGCCAAGGAAAGCTGCCCGTGGGGCATTGGCCCCTCAGTCCTGGGATGGATGTGAGGTGTCCTGTGTGAGTGTAGAGCATACCAGGGGTGTGTGTGTGTGTGTGTGTGTAGGCTATATTTAGAGCCCTTAGGGTTACCTTTTGCATTGTCTCTATTTTCTAAGAACATGAATGGCAGGAGGCTGCCCTGCTACCACCCCCCCAAGCCTTTATCCTTCTGGCCTTCCTGGACGTGGGGACAATGAGGCCCAGGAAAGGAAGAGGAGGGGGAGTACTGTATCCCCTGAAAACTGCAGTATTCCAGGGCAGTACTGCAGCCATGGGCTCAGCTAAACTGAGGGGGGGGGCGGGGTAGAGCAGGGAAAGCTGCAGCTCCTGCAGGCCCTCAGCGACCCCAGTTTAGTTACTGGAGGAGACAAGGTACTAGAGAATAGAGAAAATGAGAGTTGAATTGTAAAGTATTGGTTGGGAGCTAGGGGGAGAATCATAGCCAGCATCTTCAAAGGGAGTTGATGAAGGCTTCTGGGAAGAGGTGGGACTGAAGGATGGGAGACAGTCCAGGGAAGGAAGGAGACCCGGTTCTGCTGGGAGCACGGCAAGGATGAGCAGGCTGAAGAAGTGTGGCTCATACCATGGGTTCTTAGGGACCCCAGATTTAGAGCTGGGAAGAATAATAAACCTTAGAGATCATCTGCCTCACCCAGCTCCCTCATTATACCGAGAAATAAACTGAGACCCAGGGAAGTATCAGGGACAGGATTTGAACCCAGGTCTCCTTGATTCCAGGCTCCAACTCACTGGTCAGGAGACTGTCAAGCTGCCCAGCTCAGGACTCTGATCTGGGAGTGTCAACTTGTCATTCTCACCAAGGACCAGGCTTGGCTTAGTGGGTCTGAGCTCAAGGAGGCAGGAAGCACCTGCCCTCAGGGAGGTCCTGGGCACTGGCCTCTCCTCAGAGAGCCTCTATCTTGTTCCCTCCCTCATTAGAAGGGAAATTCCATGACTGCAATTTTAAGGGAGGTTTTTTTGGTTTTATTTCTGATTTTCTTTTTTGCCTTTCTTTTTATTCCCAGCACTGAGCACAGAGTAGGCACTATAATGCCTGTTGATAACCTGACAGATCTGCCTAGTGAAGGAGACACAGCCCCTTTGCTGGGTATACCCCCATCTTATGTACCTCCTTCAAGTAGGGAGACAAGTCTCTGACCTTAGGAAGTCCCTGTTCTGAGGGAAGAAACACAGTCCAACACAAGAAAAGGACAGAGAAACATTTAGAAGTAATGCATAATAGCACCTGCTCTCTCTCTCAATCTGTGTGTGTGTCTCTGTCTCTCTCTGTTTCTCTGTGTGTGTGTGTGTGTGTGTGTGTGTGTGTGTGTGTGAAGACAAAAGGAGGCAGATTCCCCAGTGACTGGGAGAGTAATGGAGGTGGGTGGAGGCCTCAGAGAAGGCAAGGCTCCCTACAGCAGGTAGATTTTCAGCAGGATCTGGAAGGAGGAGGAGGAATGTTCTTAGAAAGGAGGAAACTGGCCATGGAGGCCAGAAGCAATGAAGGGTATGAGCTAAGTTTAAGGGGCTGAGTCCTATTGAGATATGTCCTTGGCTGTCCAGTGGTCAACATCAGAAACAGATATGGTTTTTATCAGTGGAAATGACCTGTAGGAAAAGGCATGAGCCTCTGCTATATCCATAGACCATGGGGCCTTTCCATCTGACTTGCCTCTTAGATGTTCTGTCTCCCCGTTCTCTGACCTTCCTCCTGGTAATCTCCATCTAATGCTGGGTTTTCCTTAAATAATGCTTTTTCATTTGCATGGAAGAAGAAGGTCTATGGAAGTTGTCAGCTTCACACAAAGGCTAACTGGGTAACTTGGGCTAGGTTATTTTTCTTCTCCTGGCCTTAGTTTTCTCCTCTGTAAAATTGGGATAATACTACATTAACCTGCCAGAAGTCAGGGGTAGTTAGTCACTCCAGTTCCAAGATCTACAAAATCTAAACCAACTTGATAAAGCATCATTGTTATTTCTTTTTCAAAAATAAATCAGGAACTCATAGAGATAGCAGGGACCTTAGAGGGGGTCTGATCTAACCCTCTCATTTTACAGTTGGGGAAACTGAGGCTGGGAAAGGAAGTGGTTTGTGAGAGGTGGCACAGGAAGTACACAGTGGCAGACATAGAGACAGACCTCTGACATAAATCCAGGGCTCTTTTCATCCATATCATTTTCATCTCTCTCTTTTTTTGGCCTTGACTACCTAATTTTAGAGACACTTGGTAACCCTCGGTAGCTATGCCCCTCCCACTAATCCCCACCCCATGGCCCTCCATCCCTTTTTGGGGAAGGAGCCAACACAATTCTTTGGTGAAGCCCCTGACCTGGGGAGAGGGATAAGGAGGCTCCCTGAAGCTCCTCCCCCTTGGTCAGATGTGGACCCCCACAAGCGCTTCCCCGTCTTAATCTCCTAGTTACTGACGCTGACTCAAAGGCTGGAGGTGTTATTTCCCTTTTTTTCGGCTTTGTTTTCTTTTGTTAGGACGAGGTAAAAGGTGGAAGAAGGGAAGGAGAAAGGGTATGGAGTACAGGGTGTGCGTGTGTATGGGGGGGGTTGCTTCTCCCAGAGCTGCAGTGCCACAATTGTCCACCAGGTGGGGTTATAGGGCAAAGAGTGAGAGGGCCGGAGAGGCAGGCAGAGAGATTTCGCTCCCCCAAACCTCAGTGCGCCACAGAGACAGAAAAGCACCCAAACATATTTTGCACACACGCATCCAGACCCGAGCATACATGCCCAGGCACAAACACAGGGAGGACCTTGGAAGAAGCGGACAGACACACACACACACACTCACACGTGCGCACACGCACACGCAGACTTTCATCCTCCCGTCTGGCCTCCTCTCTCATTCATAGCTCCAAAGTAGGAACGCGGCGTTCAGAAAGCAGAGGCGCCGCTGGTGTCTGGATTCGAGAGAGAAAGGTGCGAAGAGGCGTGCAAGTCAGTTTCCACCGCGCACACCCACACCCACAGCCCGCACACATATCCACCACAGATACTCCCCCCCTCCATTTACACCATACAGACCTACACGTTACTCCCGTTTAGAGGAAGGGGGAGTTGGATTACGTCTTGTTTTGGCACAATCACGGGGCTCCGGCGAGGAGTGGATGGAAAAGAAAGGGGAGGGGTTCCTGGAGAGATGAGAGCCCCCTCCTCAAATTAGACAGGCCCAAGTACAGGCCACCTTTTCCACCTCTGGCGCGCGCGCACACACGCGCACACACACACACCCCGCACAGCTCCACACGTTCTAACTGCAGGGGCACACATGTTGCGCACACACGTGTCATTCTCACACACTCCCCCCCCGCTCCCCCCCCCCGCCCCTGGGCAGCCAGCGCGGGAAGGTGGCGGCCCCTTTCGGAGCGTGTTTATTTACCTATTTGTATCAATGAACGCTTGTGCCCCGGGGCTCCGCCCGCCCCGCCCAGCTCTCGGACTCAGCAGGAGCGCCCAGACTAGCCCGCCTGGCTGCCGTCCGACGTGCGTCCAGCCGGCGCCCGGGCGGGGGGAGGGGGAGCAATCCCCGGTCACCCCCGACTCTCGCCACCCCTCTTCGGCTCGGCGGGCTGAGCCGCGAATCTAGGGCACTTTCTCCCGGGAGTGAGCTGTCCGGGAGGGGGAGGCCCCCTATCTCCATGCGCCTGTCGCCCGACCAGGCTGGAGGCTGGCAGCCGTGGTAGGGGGCTCCAGTGTCAGGGCTGGGGTCTAGGGGCCAAGAGATCCCCACTCTGACTGAGCGGGCGTCCTGGTGCTAGTGGGGTGTGTGTGTGTGTGTGTGTGTGTGTGTGTGTGTGTGTGTGTGTGTGTGTAATCTGTGTGTCTTTTCGTCTTAGGTGCCGAGCCCAGCGCAAGGCAGACGCGCGGCCCGGACAGCTGACAGAGGACGGATGGACAGAGAGGGCCGAGGGAGAGGCGAACTGAGTTTGATCCTTCACCGGCTACAAGTGGGTCCCCGGCAGGCAGGCGGGCGGGCGGGCGCGCATCCAACACTCACACGCTCCCGGGCCGCTGGGCCCGGCCTCTCACCACGCCTCCGGCTTTGTAAGAGTCGGGGGGGGGGCGCGGCGGGCGGAGAGGGGGAGGGGGGAGGCTGGCGGAGGGGGAGACTGGCTGAGCGCCCACGGCGCAGCCTCCCGCCCCTATATAAACACACGCATCGCCTCAAATCACATTGAGAAGCTTTTAAAACCACCAGCCCTGAAATCCTGCCTCCTGCTTTATTTCTTCTTCTGTTTTTTTTCTCTTTTCCCTCTTTCTCCCCTTCCCCCTCCCCCCTTTCCCTAGCAGCAAGTCCAGAGACCAGAGACAAAATCCTGCGGAGTGCCTGCCTTTGCTGATTGATACAATAACCCAGCTCGGCTTCTCCACCGCCCGCCCCCCAACCCCACCCCGCCTCACCCCCTCCCTCCTTCCCTCCCACCGGCCCGCGCCTCCTCCTCCTCCGTCTCCTCCTCCCCTCGGGCTCCGGCTCCGGCTCCGGCTCCGGCTCCGGCTCCGGCTCCGGCTCCGGCTCCGGCTCGGGCTCGGGCTGCTCTCGGCGTCGGTCTCGTCCGCCCCGCGTTAGCTGCTCACTCCGTCTCGTCCGCTCTGCTCTGCTCCTCACTTCTGGCCGCAGCCGTTGCAGGGGCGCACAGGCAGCTTTTAGAGGCTGAGGCACCGCATTAAAGTTTGAACTGATACAGAGTCGGGGGGTAGGTCCCCTCATTTCCCAAACCACCACTTCCTTTCCTCTTCCCCCCAAAAGTTTTGGGGGTTCTCCGGTGATTTTTTGATCTGGGGGAGACACCCTCTCCTTTCCTCCTTAATTAGCATTTTTAATTTTTTCCTCCGAAATTGGAATTAAAAACAAATCCTTTGGACGAATTGATTGCACTTTAATTTTTCGTTTTTGTTTCATCTTATATTTTTTTAATTAATTAATTTTTTTTGGCCTTTCCTCGGAGCGAGGGGGAGGGGTCCGCCGGCCCAAGTTTTCCCAAGTTCACCAAGCGTGGTGCTTGGAGAGCGAGAGAGCGAGAGAGCGAGAGCGGGCGAACTTGAGCGCTTTGTCCTTAGTCCAGTCCCCGCCCCGGTCCCCTCAGCCGCCCCCCACCCCTCTATAAAGGAACACAAAACAAAGTTACACTTTGAGTGGCCTCGGGTCTTTTTTTTTTTAAGGCAGGTTCCCCCCCCCCATTCCCTCTGACACTTCAGGCTCTTTCTCCCCAGTCCCACCCCCTTGCCTTCTCTGCATCTGGGGAGCGGGCAAGGGACCCCACACCGCAGCCCCGTTTCCGGCTCCATCCTTTCCCTTTGCTCCCCTCCCCCACCGCCTCCCCTCCTCTCTCCCCTCCCTCCCAAGCACTTGGAGCCAGCCAGAGAACCAACCAAAAATATGCTCTTTGAGGGGTTTGATCTGGTCTCGGCTCTGGCCACCTTCGCCGCCTGCCTGGTCTCGGTGACTTTGCTCTTGGCTGTGTCCCAGCAGCTGTGGCAGCTGCGCTGGGCGGCCACCCGGGACAAGAGCTGCAAGCTGCCCATTCCTAAGGGCTCCATGGGCTTCCCCCTGATCGGCGAGACGGGTCACTGGCTGCTCCAGGTAAGGGCGCGCGCGCGCGGGCTCCCCTCCTGTTTGGACCGGTCCCAGCCTACTGCCGCAGCCCCTGAATGAGCGCTGTCTCGCCTCAGGGATGGCTGGCCGATTAGGCTTGGACTTTGGGGGCATTGGGGAGGAGGCTCCTTAGGAGGAGGGCACAGAGGAGCATACTAGGGGGTCATGAAAGGTGGCGCAGGTGGGAGGTGTGGCAAGAGGTAAGGAGGAAATGGGGTTCTGCTGAAGGGAGGCTCTCCTGTAGACTCCAGGCGAGGGGGAAAGGGGAAAAGTGCATGTCCACTTGGCAATCTTCTGGAAATGTGACGGGAGGTTAGACTGACCGCTGGGGAGTCTTACGGATAGCGAACCAGGGCGGCTGTGGAACCTGGTGCCTGGCGAAAGGGAGTCTCCCTGGCTGTGGGAAGCGCTCTAGAACCTTAAATCCACTTATCCTCAACTCCTCCAAAAACCATTTGCAGGAGTGGGGCAGGTGTAGAGTGGACCCTCAGAGATGGGGGGGTTGTATATATGGCAGTCCAGGTGTGAGTTCTTCAATGGGGCGAGCGTGTGGCTTTTGGCTGTCGAAGGGGAGACCCCTAGCCTGAGCACGTCGCTATTTCCTACCCACCTGCCTCTTCGGTGCTTCTTCGCCTGCTGTCTGGTCCCCACACTGCCGGAGCTGCGGCTGGGGCGGCCTGGGCTAGGCTGGGGGCGCAAAGCGGGTAGAGAGGAAGGAGAGGAGATTCGAGCCAGCCTTCCCAGGAGGACTTGTCTCTTTAAGGAGAGGGCCGGGTCCTGGCAGCTGGCTCAGCTTGGCCAGGTAAAGCTCGCATTCTGGGAGAGTATGTGTTTGTGTGTGTGTGTTTGTATGTCTGCGTACACGAAAGGAAAAGTGACAAGCTGGGGAAGCCCGAGGCACGCGGCTACCTGTTTGGAAAAGTTTGCTCTGTTTATTTATCTTGAAGAAGAAATAGGAGGGCGGCGAGGTTAGTTAGGGCTGCCCAAGGAAGACAGAGAAGGAAGGGACTGTTGGGCCACGTGTGACCCTGGAGCTCAGCTTGTGCTCCCGGTTTAGCCTCAGAAATCTCGCAACCCCAAGAGCCTTTGGGTATCTGGGGGTAGGAGTGAGGGTGGGGAGGACGCGGACTGGACTCGGAGGTATTGTGGAGATTAACCGGAATTAACCTGGTTAAGTGCTAGACAATAGCTATTGCAATGTGATATCCCCCCTGCCCCCTAGCTGTCCCTCATAGTGGGGTGGGGAGTGGGAGCTTTAAGAGCCAAATAGATGGTAGTGTGGATGGGGGTGGTGGGGTGAGGGTGGGGGGTTGGGAATGCAGAAGGGAAGCTGACCTGAAACCAAGCAGCGCTTAGCTTTCTTCCTATGGCGCTGGAGGAAAGTGGTGAGGGGGATGCTATGCACACCCTGGTAGAGAAGAGTCTGGTTAGAAACGGGAAAACCAGCTTGGAATAGCCGGTCTTGGTCATTTCTCAGGTAGATCAAGTGAGGGGGCGAGGGGAAGGCCATCTTTTACACGTCCCTAGCCCACTTTCGCCCCGTCGGGTCTCTGCTTCCGAGGGAGGGGCGCTCTGTTTGTCTCCCGCATTCCTTTAGCGGGAGGTGTGTGTGTGTGTGTGTGTGTGTGTGCGTGTGTGTGCGCGCGCGCGCTCCCGCGCGTTTGACACAATCCACTCGAGACCATCAGGGAGGCGCGGCAGCCTCCGAGTTCCTCTCCCTCCCACCTGGGCCGCGCAGAAAGGGTTAACAGCGGCCGACTGGGATTTTTTGGCCGCGAAGTTAAGAAATAAAATTTCAGAAGCCACAGAGGCCGCGGCGGCGGGCTCCCTACGCGGTCTGCAGGAGCTGCAGGCTTCAAATCACATCCCAGACGATCCTGTACCCACCCCCCCTGCCCGGCGCCCCCAGCCCCGCCCAGGGGGGAGTCCCACAAACTGAGAGGGCTTGGGGTTGCCTGCAGTCCAGGTCCAAGTGAGGGAGGGGGGAGGGGGCAGCGGCGTCCAAGGGGTTAACGGGCGCCCTGGTGAATCGGACCTTTATGTTTTTCGGGGCCATTTGTCAGATTTTTACGGGGGTCCCTCTAAGGGCTCTCCCTTTCCACTGAGCGCCATCTAAACAGAGCCCCGAGCTAAAAATACAACATTTTTGTATAAATTGGACTCGCGGCTGGAGTGGCCGCCCCGATGAAAGTCCTCTTTGTGGAGGCAGACGGTGGAAACGGAGGACAAATAAGTCTTTATTAATGCCACCAAAAGCGCACTTAATTATAGTTAAGCAGATCAGAGGCGAAGAACTGGGGAGGGGGAAGAGGGGGAGAAGGCGCCCTCAGGAAACTCACAGCCAACTCTAGAAAAAAAACAGGGAGCCCCCCAAAACCCACTGTGGCCCCCGCCCAGTGCAGCTTCTCCCTCTTATTAAGGGATAGCTCTCAAGTGAGTCGGCACTTAGGCGATCGGGAGGCCGTGCCGAGTAGACGGAGGCGGGAGCCAATATCTAGAGTCCCTCCTTCAGGGACCCCGAAGCTTCGGCCCCCCAACTTCTCGTGGGCCCGTGGCCTGCACAGGGGCCTTGCGAACTTCCCCAACTTTCTCTTCCCTCCTGCCCTTGCTCCCCAGACGGCTCCGGCGCGGCGGCGCGGCCTCGCTTCGCCCCTGTGCGGAAGGCCATGTGGAAAAGTGATTGAGAAGTCCTGGCTGGGTCGGAAGGCTGCAGCCCAGCTTGGAGCAGGGGTTCTAGACTTGCGTGCCTGTGCGTGTGGGGGGGGGCGGGGAGGAAGGAGGTGTAGATGTGGGTGTATATGAGAGACAGTCACACAGACATACACACAGATTGACTTCTGGTCTTCTTTTTCCCTGAAAGAAAGAAAAGTGAGGAGAAGGCGGGTTGAGGTGAGGGGGAGAACTCACGGGGATCGATAGGGGTTTGAAGAAAGACGCTGGGCTCATATCCTCCTCTTTCCCCCACATTGGTCCATTGGGTGGGGGTGGGAGGATCTTAAGACCCAACACGACCACCTCAGTGGGGGAGGAAAGGAAGGGGGCAGAAGGTAGACAGGTAATTTCCCTCCGGTGTTAACGGATTGGGGGTGGGGAGAAGGGGAGCCGACAGTGACCAACGTCGGACCGAGAGAGGAACTCTGCTTCCTCCGTAGCCCCCAGCCCTTTGGAAATTTTGAAGGGCTTCCTGTCATTCCAAAGCCCCCCCCCAACTCCAGGCAGCCTGGTCGGGGTCGTCCCAATTTACTGCCCGCCACCCCCTACTCCGGGCCCAGACGGCTGGGATCGAGTTACCTGCAGTCCCTGCTCACTAGCCCCGCACCCCGCCCCGCCCCTCCGGGCTGCGTAATCGCCCCCTAATTAACCCACAGCCGACAAAACCACTTCTGTGTCTGGCTTCCGCGGCGACCCAGCCCCTCTCCGCCCCCCTCCTCATCCCCCTCCTCCCTTCTTCTGCTCTGTCCCGCAGCAGGGGCTCCACCGTCCGCCCCGTCCCGATTCGCCTCGGATCCGCCTGGGAATCCCGCCCGGAGGCGGCTCGGGAGCCCTAGGGCGGCAGGGAACTCACTTTTCTATTATGGTTATGTTCTGAAATAAATTTATTATTTCAGTGGCCATAAACCACCCCGAAGCCCTGCCGCCCTCCAGAGTGCGCCGGCAAGACGGCGGATGACATCATATTAAAATACCGAGAAAAAAATTAAAATTATATATAATATATATTTTTTTGCCAAGCACAGAAATTCCCTCCCTCTCCCCCCACCCCGCCCCGGCACCCCCTCCCTACCCCGCTCTAGAGCGGCCGCCCCGGGGAGGAGGGGACGGTGAGCGGCTATAAATAGGCACTGGCCATTGGCCATCCGGCAGGGAATCGCCAGCCCGTGGACAGGAGCCTGGAAAGATTTATTCTAAGAGTGGATGAGGCGGGTTGGGTCGGGCTGAGGATGGGAGGGGGTGGGGAGCAGGGCTTCGGGCGGGGCGGGGCCGCTTGGGGTCCCTCTGGGGCTCGCGGCTCCGCACATCGCCCCGTACGGTTTGGAGAGCCGCAGTTAAAAGCCGGGGGCCAGGGGAGAGGGGTTTGTAGAGAAAATGTTATCCGACTTATTGCCAACGGGCTGCGCGTCTCCACTTATTACCACGGAGATTATGATGTCTTTTCCAGTTGGTGTTTGAAAAAAATAAAATAAGACGTCAGTGATAGAGAGGAGAGAAAGCAGGGGAGGGCTGAAGGGCAAAAAACAGTTCTGTTGGAGATCCTGCGGATCTCCCTAGTCCCTGAAGGTCACAAAGGGAAGAAGAGTCAGTGGAATTTCTTCCCTCCCCGCCCTAGGCACACACACCATCCAGGATGGACTTGGAGTCAGGAAGACCCGGGTTCAAATCCCGTCTCATATATTTAATAGCTATTGATTGTTGTGATCATCACTTAACCCCTCTCAGCCTCAGTTTCCTCATCTGTAAAATTAATGATAGTATCCAAGGAGCCAAGAATCAAATGAGATAGCATATGTAAAATATTTGGGGACATTACCCAAAGTAGTCTGCCTCTGATTCCCCCAACCCTCCCCCAGCGCTGTTATCACGCTTACTATCTGGGTGATATTGGACATCACTTTATTTCTAAGGGCCTCAGTTTCCTCACCTGTGAAATGTGGGGATTGGACAAGACGGTCCCCAAGGTGCCTTACATCATCCTATTCCTCTCTATTCGCTTTAAAAAAAGTTTCCTTGATTGACCTGGAAATGACTGGCTGCCTATCTGTCCCTTCCCCGTGCCCCCCCTCCCCGCCCCCAGGGCTCGTGCTTCCAGTCGTCTCGGAGAGAGAAGTATGGCAATGTATTCAAGACCCACTTGTTGGGGCGGCCGCTGATCCGAGTGACAGGCGCGGAGAACGTGCGCAAGATCCTTATGGGCGAGCACCACCTGGTGAGCACCGAGTGGCCGCGGAGCACGCGCATGCTGCTGGGCCCCAACACCGTGGCCAACTCCATCGGCGACGTCCATCGAAACAAGAGGAAGGTAAGGCTCTCGACTCGCCTCGGCCTTCCTTGTGGGCAAGCTCGGTTTTCCGTTCGCTTGGTTTCATTTTCAGGTTTCCAGACCCCTGTTACTTTCCACGCCCCCTTCACTCCTCCCCTGACCAATCATTCAGGCTAAGGCTGATCTCCCTGTATCCTCGCACCAGCGCCCCCCACCCTCGCTAGGGAAGGGAAAGCTTCCTGCTACTTTGGGCAAATCGACATTTCTCCGGGTCTCAGTTTCCCCTCCTGCGAAACGAAAGCTTGCATTAGATGGCTTCAGGGGCCCTTTCCAGCTCCAGAAGGAAGGAGAATGTGTGTGCAGAGGCGCTCTCTATCCTCCACCAGTTCAAATTCCCAGGACTCTCTGGGCGGAGCCCCCTCCACCATCAGACCCTCTTGATCCCTTGGCCTCCTCCTTACCTGCTCCACCCGGGTTCAGGTCCTCTCTTCCCTGTGCCCTGCAGGCACTGTGGCGGAGATAGCAGCCCGCGCCCCCTGCGCCGTAGCGCCCTCACTCTGCTGGATCGCGCTCTGGTGACAAGGACACATCACCCCCTTCTTCCCACCCTTCCCAGCCCGAGCTGCGCGGTGCCCGTTCTCTCCCTCCTCCTGCCCCCTGGCGGTCTGTGGGACCCCGGGCCCTTCCCTAACCCCTCCCCCAATCGTTTCTACCTCCACCGGAGACGGGGAACGCCAGGGGACCGCCAGCGCCTCCAGTGGGATTGTCTTTGGCTTTTTCGTGTCTCACGATAGGCACTGGGGGCGGGGGGGGGGCGCGAGGGAGGGTTTCAGGCTTGAGGGGTGGGTTGGGAGCGGGGGTGGGGGGCCAAGCTCGTGGCAGTTGCCGAGTTTCAACGTTCGGGGTCCGAACCTTGAGACCCGGCTCGAAAGTTACGAGCATCCCAAGCTCAAACCGCTGCGTTCCTTCTGAGATTCTATAGAGGAATTTAAAAGGGCAATGCTAGGCTGGGGGTGGGGGGTGTGTGACCGCAGGGAGCGAACGGGATCCGGGCCCCTCCGGGCACTCACTCTGGGAGCCAGGAGCAGAACTTGGGCGCAGCGATGTGGGGGGCATCCCTGAGCACCCCCCTTTCCTGGCCGGCCCCAGGGCCCTAAACAGGAAGGGAAAGTAGAGGAGGGTGTTAGAGCTCGGAGTTCCCCAGCCCGCCCTGCCACGCTCTCCCGCCTCCTTCTCGCTGCCTCCGCAGCAGCCTCAGCGTCTCCCCGGGGTCCGCCCCGTGGCACGTGCTGTTTGAACTACAGTAACCCCAAAGCTGAGCCCGGAGCACCGCCCCCAACTTCCTTTCTTAAAGCTGCCAGGGAGACAGACGGCTGGGCACGCCCCCACTTCCCACCTCCACCTCCCAAGTCCTGGGTTCACTGGGTCCTCACCCAAGCTGGGGACAGGCGGCCGGGGAAAGAAGCTCCTTCTATTTGATGTACAGAGTTTGGGGGGCTGGGACAGCCTTCCCCTTCAAACGGGCTCAGAGATCTCGGGCTGGAGGGGACCTCAGGGACCAGAGCCCAACCTCCCATCCCCCTTTCTCTTTCCAGGCCTCAGTTTCTTCATCTGCAAAATGAAGGAATTGAAGTAGTTGTCCTTTGAGGTCTTTAAGGAATGATTATGAATGTGAAGGCACGTGGGGCATTGTCATTAATAGAGCTCAACTCGATTCAATTTAACTATCCCTAATTAAGAGCCTACTATGTTCTAGGCATTATAGACAAAAATAAGCAAACAAAATGAGGCAATCAGTCCCGGCCCAGAAGAACTCACGTTCTACCCAAGGAGCTTCTGGCATTTTAGGCTTTAAAATTTTTAATGCCTTTATTGCCATCGATTCATTAGAGCATTTCATTTCAGTCAGCAAGCATTTATTAAGAGAATGCTGTGTGGCAGGTGCTGAGGATACAAAGGAAGATACAGAATCAAAGAACTTCCCCGTGGGGGGGAGAGACCATGGTATCTAGATACACTAACTAGATACTAGATACACTATCCACTAACCAGCTCTACAAGATATTTACCCAGAAAAATACAAGATCCCTGGAGGAGATTCAGAAATTCAGGGCAGAAGGGGAGGGGGGCCTTTCTTCATCCCCCTTAATTGTTAATGCCTTCCCTCTATTGTTTTTCTCCAGTTTATTGTGCATGGATCTTGTTTGTACATTATTATTTTCGGGTTATCTCCCCTATAAGACTATCTTTTGCCTTTCTTTGTATCTTCAACATTTAGCAGAATGCCTGGCACATATACAGACTTAATAACTGCTTATTCCTTCCTCCTTTCTCAGCATTGTGCCAGACACAGGGAAAAACAAACTTGATAAGATTGTGCTAGCAACGGGACTCTGGAGTTAGAGGTTGTGGGTTCAAAACTCACTTCTATGCCCAAGATGACCTGGAATCATTGGATGTCTCCCAGCCTCAGTTTTCTCATTTAGAAAATGGGGATAATAATGATCAGTATCTCATAAAGTTGTTGTGAGGAACCAAAGAAACCATGTTTGTAAAGGCCTACAAACCTTAAAGCTTTATCTAGAAGCGACTTTATTATATAGGAATCCAGGGGTTATTGCTCTGCTGCCGGCATTTCCCTAAGGTGACCAAAGGTCTGTGTGTGGCAGTGTGCCCACAGGGAGCCTTTAGTCTAGTAGGAGGCAAGCAGGCCCAGGCACATGGACTATAGATCTGGAGCCAGACAGGACAAACGTGGAATTCTTTTTTTTTTTTTTAACAGTTTACCTTTAGGGGCATCTAGTTGGCGCAGTGGATAGAGCACTGGCCCTGGATTCAGGAGGACCTGAGCTCAAATCTGGCCTCAGACACATAACACTCACTAGCTGTGTGACCCTGGGCAAGTCACTTAACCCCATTGCCTAACTAAATTAAAAAAAAAGATTAAAAAAAGTTAACCTTTAATTTTAATAATACTTGTTATGTTTAAATAGTCATCAATGCATCTTTATTTTTGTATCAAAGATAAAGGTTATTTTAAAATTGTTAGGATTTCTATGCAACTTGAAACTCTGTAGCTTTTGTAAGCAGATTATATTGGGTCTTTTGAGTTTTGTGTTTTTCTATTTGAAGCCAGTTGTAAGGATGTGTAATTCATAGGCTCTTCAGTCCAGAACTGGAAGGGATTTCTGAGGCCAGCCCCCTCATTTTATAGATGAGGGAATGGAAGTTATTTACCCAGGGTCATGCTTCTAGTAAGGAGGAGGGCCAGCATATAAGCCCAAGTGATACGATACACTGCTTACTAAGTAAATAAGAGATGGGAATCTAGTATTGAAGGAGGAGGGAGACCCCACAGGAAATCAGAGACAGCTTCCTGGAGAGGGTGGGCTTTGGGCCATTGCGCAGTCCCTGAAGCCTGCTCATCCAATAGCCCCTAGGGATCGGGCTTGGAGAAGAGTTCCTTGGGGAAGCGTTTGAAGACTCCCCTGGAATAGAATGGCCGTCCATCCTTTAGTAGGCAGGGAAGCCTTCCCTTAAGGGAAGGAATACAGAAAAGGGAAGGGCGGTCTTCCTTTCTAGGAGTTTCCAGGCTGGTTTTGGAGCTAAAAACACACCCAGGAAAAATGTGCTCTCATCTCTCAGTAGAAGGTGGCAAGTGTCTAAGGAAGAATTCAGACCACATGTGCTGTCCAAGTTTTGAGGAGGGAGATATCCAGAGACCTGGGATGCCCTGCACCCTTCCTGTCTTTCTTGGGAAGCCAAGCTTGAAGGGAGCCTTGAAGGATGATGGGAAAAGATGGACTTGCATGTCAGGAGTCTCGTTGGACAGGGTGCACCTGTAAAGTTTCTGTGCCAGTCTCAGCGTAGGTACATGGGCTTCAGGAATCCAGCCAGCAGTTTGTTGGCATTCTTGTTGTGTCTGACTCTTTGTGACCTTATTTGGAGTTTTCTTGGCAGAGATACTGGAGTGGTTGACCATTTCCTTTTCCAGCTCATTTTATAGGTGAAGAAACTGAGGTAAACAAGGTAAAGTGATTTGCAAGGATAGTAAGCGTCTGAGGCTGGGTTTGAACTCACGTCTTCCTACCTCTAAGTCCTTCCATCTATTCACTGAACCACCTAGTTGCCCAGCCAGCAGGATGCAGACCCTAAAGTGTGGCAGTGAGGTGTGACCTCATTTGCTGACTGGTCCAGTGGAAAGAGCCTCGGTTAGAATCCTGGTACTTCCACTTATATCTGTGTGACCTTGGACGAGACACTTCACTGTGAGCCTCAGTTCATCAGAAGAGGTTGGACAAGATGGCCTCGAAGTCTCTTCTGGCTTGAAATCCATTCATCTTGTGAATGGAAAGGCTGGGGTTAGGGGGTTAGAGTCATCGAATTTGGGAGTGTAAAGGGACGTCAGCAGCCATTTAGTTCTACCCTAGATGGAAGAAATCCCCACTAACCTTGGACGATCCATGGCCAGGCTTGGGTGTCATTTTGAGGCCAAGGTTAGGACTCCATCTGTGGCCAGGCTTCAAAGCTATTTTGTGGCTCTTTGGGGGGTCAGTCTGTGGCTAGGGGACAGGACTTAGTCTGGGGTGGGGTTTAGGGCTTGGTGTGGGGGATAAAGTGTGGGGAATTCCTGGCTGGGTGTGGTGAGGCCTCCCTAGTAGAGGCTGAGAGTCACTCTTTCCATTGGTACCAGCCTTCGCTCCCAGCTCTGGGAGGTCTGGCCAGATGTTTCATGGGCCATTCTTATACTTACACTGCCTTCCAGGTGTTCTCCTTTCAGCTGTCCTGGTGGTCCTGGGGCCACTATGGGCTGTGCTGCTAGTGAGAGTCCTGAATGAAAATTGTTCTCAGCCTCCCACAAGCCTGCAAAATCAGGGTGGCAAATGACTCTCTTTCCTTGGACAGGGGTGGGGGGAGGGAGGCTGTAAGGTTCAGTATCCTGCTGGCAGGGAAGAGAAGGAGCCAGGAGAGGCTTCTAATAGGCCAAGAGATGGACCAGATCAGTCGGGGGTGGGGGTGGGGGAGGAAAGAGAATAAGC